AGTGTGGGAGGTGGTCATTGTGGGGATGTGGTCAGCAGTGTGGGGAGGTGGGCAGCTATTCAGGTTCTACTGCAGTGCAATTTGCCACTCTGGTTTATTCAGGGGCAACTGCATAGGGACTAAGTGGGTTTCTTAAGTGTTCCTCTTCCCCACATGGCTTTTGTCCAGGAAACTGACAACAGGGAAAACTAAACCAAATGAAATAAAGAAAATGCAAATACGTGAGCTGGATATGTTTGCAGAACAGGAATTGCGCATGCATCGTGATGGAACTGGAGCTCAGCCACACACTGGCCTGGGCCTCCCTCGGCCCGGCCCGGGGCATTCCCTGAAGGCTTCCTCCGCCGGCTCTGAACAGCTGTGCCCTTCTCTCCGAGCTGTCCTCTCAGGAGAAACCTGGAACTGAGCTTTTTCACTCTCATTAGTGGCAAGACCATCACCATGCTTGGGGTGGGGAGCGGGACAGGCCTGGAGATTAAACAGAGGCTTCCGACCCTGTGTTCTCTTTCCCATATGCGAAGGCCGTGACGCAAACTTGGTATAGACGTGAGCCATTTACATACAAGGAAAAGCCTGTGAACAGGACAAGAGCTGATTTATTTTCTCCTCGGTCTCACCACTCACCCAGTAGGGTCCAGAGTTCAAGACCAGAAAGTGCACATGGGGGTTGAGGAAGTGCCCAGGGCAAGGAGGCAGAAGCTCCTGCAAGCCAGGCCCTGAAGGAGCAGGGACTTGGTCCTCTTGTCTTCTATTCTTTCTCACCCTGTTCTGTTCAGCTTTCCCAGCTCTCGGGTTTATTTCCTTCTGTTAGTTCCAATAGCTTCAGCTGGCCATCTCGCTGCTGGCTGAATCCCCACATCCCAGCTCAGGAACTTTACTCTCCCTTCCAGAAGCTGGGATGATTCTTCCCACTGTGACCTTTGTACTACCCCTATCTCTGCCAAAAATGTTCTGGATCCTGCTCCTGGCGGAGCTGGTCTATTCCTGCCATTCAGGTCTCAGAGTAGCCTTCCCAGACCTCCCTATCTAATGTCACTCTCTCCCTGCCAGATTTCCTGCAGGTTTTCCTGTTGTATTTCCTTTACTTATTGCTCTCTGAAATTCCCATTTATGTCATTGTTGGCTTGTTTATTTTCTGCCTATCTCATTAGCATGTAAGCTCTTTAGGCCAGGCACGGCAGCTCATGTCTGTAGTCCCAACACTTTAGGAGACCGAGGTAGGAGGCTCACCCGAGTCTAGGAGTTTGAGACCAGACTAGGCAACATAGTGAGACCCCCCCATCTCTACAAAAATGTTAAAAAATTAGCTAGCTGTGGTGGTAGATGCCTGTAATACCAGCCTGAGGGAGGCTGAGGTAGTAAGGTATCACCTGGAGCTCAAGGCTAGCTCCTGGCTGTCTAGCCTGGGCCACAGAGTGAGATCCTGTCTCAACACACACACACACACACACACACACACACACACCCCTTGTCCGCCTGTTCACTGATGTATCCCTGCATCTAGACTAGTGCTCAGCATATAGTACATGTTTAATAAATATTTGATGGATAAAGAAAAGAATATGCCTGTCAGAAAGGATCCAGGAAAACCACAGGTTCATAGAAGACTTCACACTGCCATGATTGCATTAATGTACACAGCTAACATTTAATTAAAAAAAAAAAAAAGACTTCACACTGGATTCTTGGTGGCCTCCCAAGTCAGCTGACACAGCCCATCAAGGGATGTAGTAACAGGACTGAAAGCTGCTCACCAAGCAATAATGTTAAACCAAGGCCCATTCCCATGCCATACCTTCTACAGTGCAGTACAAATTTATATTTAAAAAAATAAATCAAGGGCGGCGCCTGTGGCTCAGTGGGTGGGGTACCCCATATACCAAGGGTGGCAGGTTAAAACCCAGCCCCTGCCAAACTGCAACAAGAGAATAGCCAGGCATTGTGGTGGGCACCTGTAGTTCTAGCTACTTGGCAGCCTGAGGCAAGAGAATTGCCTAAGCCCAGGAGCTGGAGGTTGCTGTGAGCGCTGTGATGCCACAGCACTCTACCGAGGGCAATAAAGTGAGACTCTGTCTCTACAAAAAAAAAAAAAGAGGGACTTTACCTAACAAATGCAATCAGTGTAACCTGGTTTCTTATACCCTCAATGAATTCCCAAAAATAAATTTTAAATAAAATCCAGCCATTATCGTATGAACAGAATACTAACACCACATTATTTATTGTTCTTGGGGCATGTGTGTATGTTAAAAGCATTAATTTTAAAACACTTAAATGTTTTAAAAATATACCATAAAGTCTGTGAGGTGATTTTTATTTATTTGTTTTTTGTTCGTTTGTTTTGAGACAGTCTTACTCTGTTGCCAGGCTAGAACACCATGGCGTCACAGCTCACAGCAACCTCAAACTTCAGGGCTCAAGGGATCCTTCTGCCTCAGCCTCCAGGGTAGCTGGGACTACAGGTACCTGCCACACACCAGGCTAAGTTTTCTATTTTTGAGTAGAGACAGGGTCTGGCTCAGGCTGGTCTTGATCTCCTGAGCTCAAGAGATTCTCCTGCCTCGGCCTCCCAGAGGGCTAGAATTACAGTCATGGGCTACCATGATCTGCCTTGTAAAGTGTTTTTTAAGTTCTTTGTTAAAACACTGGAAGCCTCAAAGAATGTGACCCAGCCCCCCTTAGTCTGGAGAGGCCTGTGGCTCTGGCAATGCATATTTTATCTCTGTATCACCCCAGAGCTGAGCACAGGATACACACAGTCGGAGATGAGATAAGCAACCCACTGACCACACCCAGAGCCCATCAGCTCAACTTCTCTCTAGGCCCTCGCCCAGTGATTGTCCATCCAAGTGCCGGGGCACACTGGGGTGCATCAGAGGATCACGGGTGTGCCACAACACTTTTTAAAGATCATTAATTAAATTATCTTCAAAACAAAGCACAGTAAGTATATTCTTTTTTTTACTCTTTTTTTTTTTTTATTTTTTTTTTGGAAACAGAGCCTCAAGCTGTCGCCCTAGGTAGAGGGCCATGGCTCACAACTCACAGCAACCTCCAACTCCTGGGCT